CACAACCTTTGGAGGTGTTTCCCACCTTGATCCTGGGGTCTCCAGCCCACACTCTGCACAGATGTTTCTGTACACTATACCCCCCACTTGGTTATGTCGCTCCATGTATGCTTTCCCTGCCAGCATCTTACACCCTGCAGTTATGTGCTGGACTGTCTCAGGAGCCTCTTGGCACAGTCTACACCGTGGGTCTTGTCTGGTGTGGTAGATCTGGGCCTCTATTGCCCAGGGCCTGCTCCTGAGCAGCCAGGATCAGTGCCTCTCTCTTGTGGGATACCGAGGTACTTGTAACTGTCCTCAACATCTGCTATTGTTCCCTCTGGGAGTGAGACCCCCTCTGTGTGGACTACCTTCCCTCTCTTTGTCACCATCCTGCTACATTTCTCAAGCCTGAATAACATCCCAATGTCTGTGCTGTAGATCCTTGTGGTGTAGATCAGAGAGTCGATGTCTCGCTCACTCTTAGCGTACAGCTTGATGTCATCCATGTAGAGGAGGTGACTGATGGTGGCCCTGTTACTGAGTCGGTATCCATAGCCAGTGCGGTCGATTATTTGGCTGAGAGGGTTCAGGCCTATGCAGAACAGTAGTGGGGACAGTGAGTCTCCTTGGTATATGCCACATTTGATGGACACTTGTGCAAGTGACTTGCCATTGGCTTCAAGGGTGGTTTTCCACAACCGCATCGAGTTTGCAATGAAGGCCCTTAGAGTCCTATTGATATTGTACAGCTCCAAGCACTCAGTGATCCATGTGTGTGGCATTGAGTCGTAGGCTTTCTTGTAATCAAGTGTGTGCAGTGCACAGGTTGGTCTTACGGGTTCTGCAGTCGCAGGCGACTGTTCCGTCAACCAGGAGTTGGTGCTTGACTCCTCTGGTGTTTTTGCCGATACCCTTCTGTGCTGTGCTCATGTTTTGATCCATGTGCCAACTTATCTTAGCCGCAATAATGCCTGACATGAGCTTCCATGTTGTGGAGAGACAGGTTATTAGCCGATAGTTGGATGGGACTGCACCCTTTGATGGATCCTTCAGGATCAGGATCATACGCCCTTGGGTTAACCATTCAGGGTGTGTCCCATCCCTTAGCAGCTGGTTCATTTGTGCTGCCAGGCGCTCGTGGAGGGCAGTGTGCTTCTTTAGCCAGTACGCATGGATCATGTCAGGGCCCGGTGCGGTCCAGTTTTTCATACCTGTGACTCTTCCCTGGATGTCTGCCACTGTGATGGTGACTGGATTCTGTTCAGGGAGGTTGCTGTGGTCTTCTCTCAGATCCACCAGCCACTGTGCATCGGTGTTATGTGATGCCTCCCTCTCCCATATGCCTTTCCAGTACCTCTCAGTCTCCAGCCTTGGAGGGTCTGCTCTGGTGTTATTACCCTGCCACTGAGCGTACACTTTCACCAGTTGTGTTGCGAACAGCCGGTTTATTCGTCTGGCTTCGTTATCTTGTGTGTACCTCTTTAGGCGGCAGCTGCTTGTTTCTATGGATGTTTCTATGGATATGTCATTGCTCTGCCTGGAATGTTCCACAGTATGACATTAAACATCTCTACCTTACATTTATTCAATTACATGTGGCTTTATTGCTCAAAAATATGAAACATGTATTTCATTCAGGATAAATGAAGTATTATCTCTATATCTGTCTATCTGTCCTATAATTAGGTCTCCATGAAGATAGAAATGTTTAATGCCATACTGTGAAACATTACAGACAACGAGGGCAGCAAAGAATATATTTATTGAGGAAACTGAACTCTTTTAATGTGAACAAAATGATTCTTAACAATTTTTATTGCTCTTTTATCGAAAATCTTCTTACTTTTTCTTTTATTTGCTGGTTTGAATCCTTGTCTGTGAAGGATAAAAACAAACTTCAAAATATTGTTAAAACCTGCTCGAAAATCACAGGGATCAAACTGAGGGACCTGCACTCTTTGTGGGAGGAGCAGGTGCTGAGCAAAGCCAAGGGTCTCCTGGCTCAGCCGCTCCATCCTCTGGCTCCTGATTTTATTCTCATGCCTTCAGGGTGTCGGTTTTATGCTCCAATACGGAAAACCAACCGGTTTTCTAATTCTTTCATGCCCTGTGCTATTAAATTATTAAATTCTAAGGGTACAGTTTTATGAAAGTTTTACACTACAATTTGTTTTTTATTTTGAGTTCCACTGGTGGACAGCAATTGGACTGACACACTTTGTGTTTGTTTGTGTTTGTGTTTGCTCTGAGATGCTGCAAATGAATTGCCTTATGGGATCAATAAAGTTTTCTGAATCTGAATCTGAATCAGACAAAGCAATAACATCTACATGGAGGAAATTTTTTAACGGACCTTCCACCAGAAAAGTTACACAGTGCACCTTTAAGTCATGTCGCCTCATCAAAAACATACCACTCAAACGTGTGAATGAAACAAAACAAAACTCCAGGTCTGTTTCTGATGAGGAAACATTATAGCATAAATACTAAAATAGTGTAATGTGGGCTCTTTAAATATTACACTTATAATTTAAATAATGTACATTTCTGCAGGGTTTCTTTAATGCTTTGACGGATCTCATAAAAACACATGGACGAGTTTGTGGGTAAGTATAACTATATAAACATTTTGTCTTTTTTTCTTGGTGTTATACATATATCACACTAGGGGTGTTGTACATGTATCTCTATTGGGAGAATGTTAAGCACTTGCCATGGTGACACTATGCAAACACAGACAAAAAAATTTAAATGGATTTAAACAGCACATTTTCAGGAGTCTGTGATCAATACAAGCATTCATCGTTGTGTAGGGAGATTGTAGGAGTTAAATTTTCGACAAAAAGGTGAGAGTGAGTTGTTATTAATGTTATTATTATTATCATTATTATCCATCCATCCATTTTCGTCCGCTTATCCGGGGCCGGGTCGAGGGGGCAGCAGTCTAAGCAGGGACTCCCAGACTTCCCTCACCCCAGACACGTCCTCCAGCTCCTCCGGGGGGACCCCGAGCCGTTCCCAGGCCAGCCGAGAGACATAGTCCCTCCAGCGTGTCCTGGGTCTACCCCGGGGCCTCCTCCCGGTGGGACATGCCCGGAACACCTCCCTCATTATTATTATTATTTGTAGTAGTAGTAGTAGTAGTAGTAGTAGTAGTATTTGGCCCGAGTGCATGGGCGAAGTCAATGACAGCCATATGGTATATTTCGGTTGCCATGGCAATGCAGGATAATGCCCATATTATCCTAATGGCAAAATTTCTAAATTTTCTCATAATTTAAAGTGATAAAACAATGTATTAGTTTTATTGAAGAACATTAAATTTGGCACAGTGGTTCTTCAAGTCACCCTGATCAAAAAAGTCTAGGAGGCCAAAGTCATATTTTGCACAGTGTTGCCATGGTGATGTCCCAAAATGCCCATGTTTATCTATGTTAGCACATCAGCATCTTCAGTGTGTGCTGACTTTGTGTGTTTAACAAGCACACAGAGTGCAGATGATTACCAATTAAAATTATATATTAACTGCGTAAATGATTGTTCTGTGACTACTATTGCCCTGATAATAAGTCAGCTTGTAATAAATAAAACTAAATAAAGGCAAAGGCTCTTTTGATTTTAAATTATATCAAGCCACTGAAACATAAATTACTAAATTCCTCTGTATAACAGTCAGAATACCACCATAGAGCTGAACAGAATAGTCTTTTAATCCTCTATTAGCGATTTCCAAAAAAAAAAGTACCTTAACAACAGCGCTAAGGGAAAGTAGCTGGATGGGTCTCCCCGTGCCTGATGAGCTGGGTCCTGTGTCTGGGTCTGTTTCCTCAGCAGTTTTTAAGTGGTCCAAATCCGTTTTGCTCCAACTCGGGTATTAATCCGTGGAAATGGCCTTAGGCGCCAGTGGCACAGTAGTGAGTTGGGGCGGCGTGCGCCACACGTGCACCCATATATCTTATTCTCAGCTGAGCAGATAAACAATAACAAAAAANGATTGACAGGCGGATCGGTGCAGCGTCGGCAGTGATGCGGTCACTGTATCGGACCGTTGTGGTGAAGAGGGAGCTGAGCCGAAAGGCGAAGCTCTCGATTTACCGGTCAATCTACGTTCCTACCCTCACCTATGGTCATGAGCTCTGGGTAATGACCGAAAGGACAAGATCGCGGATACAAGTGGTCGAAATGAGTTTCCTCCGCAGGGTGGCTGGGCGCTCCCTTAGAGATAGGGTGAGGAGCTCAGTCACACGGGAGGAGCTCGGAGTAGAGCCGCTGCTCCTCCACGTTGAGAGGAGCCAGTTGAGGTGGCTCGGGCATCTGTTTCGGATGCCTCCTGGACGCCTCCCTCGGGAGGTGTTCTGGGCATGTCCCACTGGGAGGAGGCCACGGGGAAGACCCAGGACACGCTGGAGGGACTATGTCTCTCGGCTGGCCTGGGAACGTCTCGGGATCCCCCTGGAAGAGCTGGAGGAAGTGTGTGTGGAGAGGGAAGTCTGGGAGGCCCTCCTCAGACTGTTGCCCCCGCGACCCGACCTTGGATAAGTGGAAGAAAATGGATGGATGGATGGAGGTTTTTGCCACACCTTAGAGGAAAACATGTTCTTATCCAGTTGGACAACACTTCTGTCACATCAACCATCAGGGGTGCATCAGATCAGCACGACTTCTCAGGGTGTCCAAAACATGGGCTGCTCCTCATCTGTCCACACTGCGAGCAATGTATTTACCGGGAAACGGTAATCAAGCGGTGGATTCTCTTTCCCGAAGGCAACCGCCTCCAGGGGAATGGTGTCTCTACCCAGTGGAGGTGCACAGGATCTGGAACATTTTTGGGTGGGCAGAGGTGGATCTGCCTGACCTGGAAGTGTCCCAATGCTCACTTCCTACTTGGAACATGGCGATTAGCAGGTTAGTTATGTCCATGTATATATACAGTCTATGTAATTTGAGCTTCAAAATCTGTTATCATGACAGGTTGAGCTATATCTCGTGTAATTGTCAGAAGTACAATACCTCTTTCATTTTAGCAGCACTAAAAGAAGGTGTAAGGATGCTCCGGACTCTTTTCCACTGTTCATTCCTTAACAACAGCAGAGAGTCTCTCATGGGCTTGATGGCGATTCGAAAAGTCTGCAAAGGAAGCAGTTTTTCAGTCTGTGATGATGGAATTTGTTCATGAAATTGGAATAAAATGTAAATAAAAAACAGTGTCAGGAAACAAAATACTGTAATCTTTTTTTGCATGTAATCACATAACATAAAGGGCTTGTATTACACTATTTTCTCATCTATGTTTTAATGTTGCTTCTTCAACACACAAACCCTGTATATTTAGGCTGAGTTCTTCTCTCAAACTGAAAACTCTGTTCCACCTTGTGATGTGTTAATACAGGGAGTGCTCCATTGTGTTTTTAAACTCAGCCCTGAAATTGCCAAGCTCTACTAAACAAAAGGTAAAATGTAGCTGCTACCTTGAAAACTACCAGTTCATGACATCACAAGGTGGAACAGAGCATTTTGAGCTTTGGAAATGTAGACAGACTAATAATAAAAGATTTCTCAATTGCGTGACTGAAACAAAACAGAACTCTAGGTCTGTTTTTGAGGTAACAGCATTCTAACATGACTTAAAGTTCACAAGAGTCAGTTCTGTGTATTATTAAACCTTTAAACCTCTTACATTTCTGTTGGGGAAATTGCTGAAGTCTCGGACCAACACCTCTTTAAGCATATCAGGGTCAGCGATCACCACCACCGGTCTGCGTCCCAGGTAATACCTGAAAATATACAGTAAGTATTGATACATACTACGACAACAATCCTTCGAGGTGTGATGCTAACTAAAAGCAGTGCTCTCTTAGACGCTTTGTTGCTCAAATTAGACTTAATCTGAGGTTTATTTTAACACAATCTGACCAGAAAGAGGTGACTTGGTTGGAATTATAGAATTAAAAGTGAATACATGTGAGCTGATTTGTCTTGCTAAACAGGTATCTTATCTCAGACCAACGACCACAGTTCACCACTGCCCTTTATAACACCAAGAAAAAAAGACAAAATGTTTATATAGTTATACTTACCCACAAACTCGTCCATGTGTTTTTATGAGATCCGTCAAAGCATTAAAGAAACCCTGCAGAAATGTACATCATTTAAATTATAAGTGTAATATTTAAAGAGCCCACATTACACTATTTTAGTATTTATGCTATAATGTTTCCTCATCAGAAACAGACCTGGAGTTTTGTTTTGTTTCATTCACACATGTTTGAGTGGTATGTTTTTGATGAGGCAACATGGCTTAAAGGTGCACTGTGTAACTTTTCTGGTGGAAGGTCCATTAAAGAATTTCCTCCATGGAGATGTTATTGCTAAACATTTCTATCTTCATGGAGACCTAATTATAGAACAGATAGACAGATATATAGATAATACTTTATTTATCCTGAAGGAAATACGTGTTTCATATTTTTGAGCAATAAAGCCACATGTAATTGAATAAATGTAAGGTAAAGATGTTTAATGTCATACTGTGGAACATTCCAGGCAGAGCAATGATATATCCATAGAAACAAGCAGCTGACAGACCCCCAAACAAAACATGCACATTGTCCAACTTAAACGTAATATAGGACAATAAGTTTTTTATATTATATATATATATATATATATATATATATATATATATATATATATATATATATATATATATATATATAATTTCCCTGATGAGCACTGATAATCTAACAGCATTATAAACCAAGAATAACCCCTCTTTATCTAAAACAGACTTACCTCACGAAATAGAAAAATGTTCCCCAAAAAGGGCAAAGGTTTGGGATGTTTGATGCCACATTCTGACAGCACAGAAAACGGGTAAACAGAATACCTACAAACTCACAGTTACCAGAGGACGTGCAGAGATTATCTTGTATTTACAGATGAATGTGAAACTGTTTTATTTACGTACCAATAGAGAAGACTGAGAAAAAGGAGGAACAGGGCAATAGTCACTGGCCACTCACTGGAATCCATAAAAAATGCATTTGAGAAGTCCATGAGGAATTTAACCTGTAATTAAACAACTATTGAAACTGCAGAATAGACAGATCATTTCTCATTTCTTTTTTTTTTTTTAATTAAACACTACAGGTTAAACAATAAAATAAATATTCCATGAGAGCTGATCTATGTAAAATAAATAAAATGGAATATTGCAAAGAAGATTTAATGAGCAAACTCTGTTGATAACTTCTGATTATGATTATTATAGATATTACTGAAAATACTGACCTTTTTTCACTTAGATTTTAAAACTAATCCTGTTTAGACACTTACCAGCAGCACCGAAGCTCATAGAATGTGTTACTTACTGCTGAGGACAAAGCCATAAAACACCATGTGTAAACATTACACAAGTCATGTGATCATGATGCTAAGCCAAAGTCAGCATAGAGTTAAAACAAACAATATTTGGCTATAACATGAAAGACTTGTGGATGATTCAGTGGATGTTTTTGATTTTATAACATGGACACCTTTAACCAGGGTGTCAAACTCATTTTGGTCCGGGGGCCATATCCAACCTACTTTGATCCCAAAGGGGCCAGACCAGAAAATTCATGGCATATAAACCCCAAAAATAGCAATAAGTTCAAATATTTGTGCAGAGAAACGCAAGTCTGTTACAGAAATCTTTTTTAATTGATGAACTCTTTTACAAAATATTATAATATTGAACAACCTGAAACTTCAATTTCAACACAATGTTGAAACTTATTCCTATTTGCATTAACTTGCAAATAGGAATAAGTGCATTTTTCTTGGAAAATCCTGCACTTGGCATCTACTTTTCTCATTTTTGACATTTTGCTGATGAGGGTGTCACGGTGAACAGTCAAAACGATCGTCCTTTAAGAGCGTTTGGAAAGAGACAAGTCTTCATTTGTGCTGCTCTGGTGGGAGGGGCCACGTACAGAGACGCTGGAGACGCTGCTATGCTAAGCACCACAGACAATTACCAATATTTTAATAGAAAATATAATTAAAATATTTTAATAGAAAATCAGCTGAGGGCCAGATTAAAGGTGTTGGAGGGCCGAATCCAGCCCCCAGGCCGTATGTTTGACACCCTTGCCTTAAACTGTGTGTGTGTGAGTATGTGATGAAAAGAGGCAGGAGCAGACTGGGACCAAAAAAGGGCCCTGGACTTTCCCCCCCCACAAAAAAATTGAGGATCAGGGGGAAGGGGAGGGCGAGGGGGTGGGCAGGTACGCTCTGCTCAAATTGGCCAACGAAAAGACAATATTAAGGACCGGGAGCACCACCACAGTTGAATGGCTGTTCTGGAGAATGCACAGATTGACAGTCTGACTCTGAAAAGAGGATATTTAAAAGCCCTCACCTTATATCACCTCTCTGTTTTCTGTTTTACCCAGGCTGAACCACACTGCCCCCTGCTGTTCTTGTGCCTCATAGACTGTGTATGTATGTGTGCCTGGACATCACAGAAAATTATGGTTCATTCAGTGCATTTTGTGTTTCTACCAGTGATGGAACGTAACAAAGTAAAAGTAGTAAAGTACTGTACTTAAGTTTAAAAAAAAAAAAAAAAAAAAAAACTGAAGGCAACCACACACTACAGGATTTTTCACTCTTAAACAGTTTTTAAATTTGGCTAAGTGACCTCATGTCGTTTCTTGACCTTGAAAAAATTAAATATGACTTGAGAGCCCAACCAGCTAAGTTTTACACTGTACGCGACTCTATAATCAAATATACAAAATCTTTCAAATCATTATAACTTTACAGCCTTCTCAAGAGGATGTCAAGGCAAATTTTCTAATTTACTGTGCTTCCACTGGTATAAATGGTATAAATGGAAAGAAACAAAAGTACAACGCAGATTGTTATTTATATATGTATTGTGTATGTAGGACTTGGATGGGGGGGTGGTGGGGGTTTAAGTGTTAGGGTGGGATTAATGAAATGGGGTATAAAAAAACACAACTATTAACTACTAAACACATGCTTTTCTTTAAAATTTTCTTTAACATTACCTTTTATTTTGTACAATCATAAACAATGAACCTTTGTGCCTCCGTTAACATTATTATTAGTTTGTACGACCATAAACGAAAACAAAATATAATACTGCTGCCGGATGACATGACGGTAAAGTAGCAATACGCAATGACATAACACAACAATAACTAGAACAATTTATAGAGTGATGGTGTTTTCACTGTAGGTGGAGATTACTCTGACAAATTAATCTAGGTTATTTTTAAAAACTGTGTATTATTTTTAAAGATATAATCAAAGGGGAAACATTTTAATCATACGTATCATTATGGGTTACAACAGGGGTGTCAAACTCAAATTCACAGAGGCCAAAATGAAAAACTGGGACTAAGTCATGGGCCAAACTAAATATTTATTGAAGAATTTCAACAGCATCTGCACGTTTTCTCTTCTTTCGAGATATGTAATGTTAAACCTTTTCTTATTAAAGTAAATGTTTATAGTTTTGCTTTAACACTGAATCCAGAACGAGCAGAATATAAAATAATAACATTTTAAATAAATAATGTCAGCGGGCCAGCACATATTTGATATGATCTCGTGGGCCAAATTTGATTATATCGCAGGGCAAATTTGATTATATCGCAGGCCAAATTTTGCTCCCGGGCCTGAGTTTGACATGTCTGGTTTTGACATCCTTGACAAGTGCCCGACTGTAGTATTTATTTATTCACTAAAAATGTTCTTTTGGGAACAAATTATCCTGTTTTAAATGATAAGAAATGCAAATTCTCATTCAAACACACAATAAATGTTTTAATCACTTTATTTAGATTTTTTTTAATATACATTTCTTAACCACAAAAAGTTAACAGTGCTTCAGTCATAAGTGTTATCTCAGATCCGATGTAAAACCAACTCCTTATGGAAAGTAGTCGGACTTTAGCAGCATCATCTGAGGAATGTAAAAGTCACAATACGGTGCCTGTCTTCACATGTGACAAAGCGTATAAAAACATTTTTTGTTCAAATATTTGACTGTAATATTTTAAATTTAAAATATACAGATGACTGTGATGAAGATTAAGAAAAATATCCTTTATCCGGTGATTCCTTTGCGTCATGTGCTGATTTATTCAGTCTCCTCACCCATCTCCCTTTTTATTATTTTCACATAGATGCCATTTTTGGGGCCCAGAGTGCTCGAAGACTTCAGCTCAAGTGGAACCTGCACAGAGACAGTAGGACATATATTATATATAGGATTGAATGTTAAATTATGAGTAGAATTTTTCTCACCTTTGTTTCATCACAGGTCACAATGGTGAACCTGTGAAACAGATTTACTAAAGCTATTTTCATCTCCAGCTGTGCCAGCCTCATGCCCACACAGTTACGAGGACCCGCCCCAAAGGGGAGGTACACAAAAGGATGACGAGCGGCCTTTGCCTCTGGAGTGAATCTGGAAAACAACCACACGTTTAATTCACAAAAAAACTGAGATGTATAAAGAAGTGGACTAAAACCTGAGTGAGTGTCACGACACCCATAGTGTTCGACTCCAGTCAAATGAAGCGCTCAAGACTAACAATTATGAAGCAAATTTGGAGTAGAGTTCAATATTACGAATAGGAATATATTTACAGACAAAACAGCAAAATAAAAAACACCAGGATCACGTTGAGCGTATTAATTTGAACATTTAAAACCAAAATGAGGAGCCTGACAGCTGCAGTTACACAGAGGGGCGACAGTTTTTCAATACAAAGTGAATTGAAGTCGGAGTCGATGGAGCCAGAAGCGTGCCCATGCCCACTTCCTATTTGAAATACGGCAGCTACTGGGTTAGCTATATCCATTTATATACACAGTCTATGCACAAAACACACACAAAAATATGTGTTTGCAAGTAAAATTTATATGTCTTCTTCTTCGTTGTGTTTTATGGCAAGTGGCAACCAATGTTCAGGTGTATTTAAAATCTGTATCTCACCTCTCTGGGATGAACTTCTCCGGTTCGGGCCAGTGCTCTGGATCGTGGTGGAGAAAACCTACAGGAATTTCTATCCAGGCTTCTTTAGGCAGTCGCTGGCCATTCACCACTGAGTCACGTTCAATATTTCGAACGAACCTTCAATGAAATCATTTATTTACTTTGGGGCCCAGAATTGGACCTTCGTCCCGGGCCCCCAAATTTCTGTCAACGAACCTGCTCAAGACTTAGACAAACATTATTGAAGCACAAGGGAAGTTCCTTGGACACAGTAGCTCACAGAGTAATAAAGAGTAAAAAATACATAAATGATAATAAATTCAAAATATGTAGCAAACAAACAGCAGCAAGAGACAGGTGTCACATAACGCATAACTATATAAATGTACATGTAGAAGTAAAAATTAAATATAGAAATATAGAACTACAAATATATCTCAACAAACGAGACTGTTATAACTTATACATATACTGTATGTTGTGTTTACCTGAATCCAGGTGGGTACATGCGCAGAGCTTCACTTATAACCATGTCTAAATATTTCAGCTCTTGAACATTTGTGTAATCTGGAGACTCCTGTAAAAATGATTTAAGATGACTCTTATGAGCTTTAAGCAACGTTATAATGTTGTTACCTCATCAAAAACAGACCTGGAGTTGTGTTTTGTTTCTTTGACACATGTTTGAGTAACAATTTCTTATTCGTCTGTTTACATCTCCAAAGTTCAACATGCTCTGTTCCACTTTGTGATGTCATGTAGTGGTAGTTTTTCCAAGTTCACAGCTCCTTTTACCTTTAGTTTAGTAAATATTGTCAATTCCAGGGCTTAAATTATCCAAATGATTCTAGTGAAGGTGTATGGAGTTTAAAGGTGGCCATACCAACTTGTCAAAGTCTGACCTCATCAGATCTTAGAAGCTAAACATGACCAGGCCTGGTCAGTACTTGGATGGGAGACCACTGGTAAATCCAGTAGCAAAAACTGTTATTGTGTCCTTAGGCAAGACACTTCATCCACATTGCCTAGTAGGAAAG